GACGTATCTGGCAAAGAACCAGAAATCCGTTAGACAAGACAAACTTAAATAGAGTAACCCATAACCTAACGAAAGCTCTACAAGAGGCAAAAAACGAGAACTTTTACACGTATATTACGCAACTTTCCTCCGATGATTACTCTTTATGGAAAGCAACAAAGAAATTTCATCGACCAGTCGTAAGCATTCCACCTATAAGAAACACTGATAGGACATGGGCACGTTCTAACACTGAAAAATTAGCAGCCTTCGCAGAACACCTAGTAAATGTTTTCAGTTCCCCTCAAGAGCAAAGCAATAACGACTCTGGCATTGAAGACTTCCTAAATGCTCCCCATCAGTTGTCACTTCCAATAAAAGCCATCTCACCGACAGAAGTATTTCAAGAAATAAAACTCTTAAATCCCCGCAAAGCTCCTGGACATGATTTGATAGTCGGAGACATGCTCAAGAATCTACCACGAAAAGCAGTAGTCCTATTGACCACTATATACAATAGTATACTGAGACTTGGACATTATCCCATTCAGTGGAAACTAGCACAAGTCATAATGGTAGCCAAACCTGGAAAGCCTCCAACTGAAACGAACTCTTATAGACCGATAAGTTTACTACCAATAATGTCCAAACTCTTCGAAAGGCTCCTTCTTAAGAGAATTGAAGAAGCAGCGCCACTAAATGAACTAATACCTGACCATCAATTTGGGTTCCGAAGAAAACACTCAACAATCCAGCAATGCCATCGAATTATCAATAAAATTAAAACCAGTCTTGAAGGAAGAGAGTACTGTGCTTCAGTATTTCTAGACGTACAGCAAGCCTTTGACAAGGTCTGGCATGCGGGACTCCTATATAAATTAAAAACATACTTACCTGAACGATTCTATATTATTTTGAAGTCGTATTTACATGATCGATACTTTCAAATAAAACTAGACGATGACCTTTCCGATTATAAACCCATAAAAACAGGAGTTCCCCAAGGTAGCGTGCTTGGGCCGTTCCTCTACTTAATATTTACTGCTGATCTCCCGCAAACTAACGACACCTTAATTGCCACATTCGCAGATGATACTGCTATACTAACGTCAGATCTAGATCCAAGAAGAGCATCTGAAAAGTTGCAGTACCATCTCGACACCCTTCACATATGGTTACAACGATGGAAGATCAGCGTTAATACCAACAAATCAGTCCAAGTAACATTCACTACAAAAAAAAGTAGATGCCCTGAGGTTAACATAAACAACAACCCTATACCAGTAAAAACAGAGGTCAAATACCTCGGACTCCACCTGGATGAGAAGCTGACCTGGAAAACGCACATAAAAGCGAAGAGACGCCAACTTGATCTAAAGATCAAAAATATGTACTGGCTACTCAACCGCAAGTCCAAACTATCTCTGGAAAATAAACTAATCATTTACAAATGCATAATCAAACCAATTTGGACATATGGTATGGAACTATGGGGCTGTAGTAAACCATCAAATACCAAAATTCTACAGTCATTCCAATCCAAAACACTCCGTATGATATCTGGAGCACCATGGTACGTCTCTAATCAAACTTTACAAGAAGACTTCAAAATACCATCAATACAAGATGAAATCAAGTCAAACATAAGCAGATACAAAGACCGAACAACAGAGCATGTAAACCAGCTCATAAGTGACCTATTCACTCAGCCCTTAGAAAACAGAAGACTGAAAAAAATCTGGCCAGAAGACCTTCTCGATGAAGTGTGACCATACGGAGAACCATTACTGAATGGTACCCGTCATAAGCCTCTGAATTTTAAACCATTTACTAATTACTCATATTGTTACTATGGAGTAGATTGTAAATTTGCAATAATAATAAAAAAAATGATTACATGTGGCAGTCTTGAATTCCGTGAGTGGCAAAGCCAAATGAATATACCAGATAGTTACGAACATTATACTCTGATATCACAATTTAACGTGCCACGTAGACGTAAATATTCTAGAGAAGCGAGTCCGTCTTGAAAAGCTAACAGTCGCTCAGACAGACAAACAATTCCCTCACCTTTCACACTACCCAAAATACTTACAGGGTGCCCGGATGAAAGGTATCCAAAATAAAATCATTATATCTCATAAAGAATTTATTATACACAATAATGGGTTACACCATTATAACGGGAAACTATCAAAGTTCTTTTCTGCGTATATAACTTTCTCAATAAATTCAAATGTAGGCTCCCTTGATGGCACCTGGGACCTCTGGATCTGTAGCCAAGAACTCTGACCACTAGACCACAATGGCGGCCTTTATGACTAAACTACTGGTAAATAAATCGGGTAGGCAAAACATTATAACGAAAGTTAAAACTGTTTGTTATTTAGATTAATTCTAGGTCTTGCAATAACAAATCTATTTCAGCAACGATGACCAATTAAAAGTGTATATTACGCCGTGGTGACAGGGGGCGTGTAGGTAGCCCTCCACTGCCGCCATATCTTATGCTGTAAGGGGTTAACACAATAATACTAGATTACCCTCAGCCAGGATTCTCCTGGTTCTGGACCTTCTTCGTTGCATACAGCTCCCATCATCTATTATATCTTAAGAGGGTTGATGAAAATACTTAGGGCCGGTAGCGCGGTAGTCGAGCGTTCTCTGTTGGCTGGCCCCTTCCTCACTGTTACCACTTCGTATTGGCGTAGAGCGGGCGTGTCGGGTCTGACCCGCCTCTACCCATCGACTGTCACACGATATATTACACCTCTACGACAGGGGTGGACTTGATTGACTTGATATCTCACCGCTGTCACCAGTTATTATGTCTTAGTGACGGGGGTGGGTTAAAACACACTAAATCGCTTTGCCATTTCTCTGTGGCTAGTCCCTTCGCTACGTCAGTCAACCCTTCGTTGACTCGGCCCACCGCCGTTGCCATAAGTAATGCTTCGATGGCACGGGTGAGTAAAACACAATTACTAATTCTCTCTGTCAGCCACCTCTCGTTGGCCGATCTCCACCTGTGCTATCACTTTGTTATGCCTGAAGGGGCTAATGAAATATCTAAATTACTCTTCCCTTGTTCCCTCTCGGGACGCCAACTCTCTGTCTCCTATTAGCCTCTCACCCTTAACTTGCATTCTCATAACCCTTACTGCTTGTTGCATCCGGCTGCCGTTGGCCGCCTGGGTCAGTTACGCCCTTCGCTTGGGACTGGGAAAGGGAGGAGTTTGTGAGGGTGAATCATACTCTAGGTACATCCTACCCTAAGTACATTGTCTATTTACACTCTTATTTACAATCCTATTTACAGTATGAACCATGCCGACTTTCAGTCGGGACTACATAGCGTCTTGACTTTACCGTGCTATGAATTGATCATGCTCTCCCCTTCTGGGGTGTAGGACTTGAGTCTGTCTGTCTCTTTCTCTCTACTGTTTGGACTCATTTCGCATTTCTCCACCATTCTATCATAAAACTTCACCTTTAAATTATTCTGCCCCTAAAGTTATACATACTGAGAGCCTACATATATTTATCACAAAAATCAGTAGTCATAACACACTATCTAACGTCTACCATATTTACTACACTAGCAACCTTGCCTATTACTTGTTACATTATTTCTATTATTCTACCCTAAGGGCTCGCCGGGTACACTGGAGTCTGCTTTCAACATTTTTCAACCAACAATTTACCAACAACCATAAAGTTTAACGGCATGGTTAGTATGAGCAAACATGACTTACTTGAGATAAGAGACGCAGCGACACCACCACTTGTAGTACCCATGTCGGACAGAGCCTGCGGCTAATTGTTACGTTTTTAGATCGAATCCCCATTGAGTTTTTTTTTCTCAATTTTATACACTAATTTTGCTGGCACTGCAATTGGAGAAAGAGGGAGGTTAACTACTCCCTTTGTTCTACATTTCGGGGTGGAGGGTTTCCATTGGCTAACCCCTTTGGCGGTGGGTGGGTCCGTGGTACCTCATCGCTGAGTATTTGATAAATTCATTATACTCCCGTGGCCCAGTTAGGGGAGCTTCCTACTTATGCGATTACGCATAAATGCTGATCGTCAACATTCTTAACCTAGATCCCTAGTCCAGGTGTTGTCATCCTCGCTCTAATTGCCATAAAACGCTTTCGCAAGTCTCGTAACATTTAGGCAATGTCTTTTGATTTTCTAGTCTCAAAATCTGTGGCATAACAGTGTAAAATCGTAAAGAAGGAATCTGGAAATTATGTTTACTTCTACATTACACAGGGCCAAGAGTCGCGGTAGCGCAGTCGGTATAGCAACTGGCTACGGACTAGACGACGAAGTTGTGGAAGTTCTGGTTCCAGTTGGGACAAGAATTTTCACTTCTTCAATTTCTTCGGACCGGGTCTGTGTCCACCCTGGGGCTTTTTCGCCGGGGGTAGAGCGGCATGGGCGTCAAGCCTTCCGCTCACCTCCAACTAGTGGCGAGATCAAGAAAACGTGGCGTAGTGCTTAATTACTTAAGCACAAGGACAACTTTACCTTTAAGACACAGGACTACCATATTCCACTATTATTTTGATACGGTTAATAACAGATGGATGCTATATGGAGGAGGGCTGCAGTACCTCCACCGCAACCCTGCGAGTCGTAGAAGGCGAAGAAAAAGGAATCCGGTGTCTGGCGTAAAACTAAGCGATCCTGTCACTGGGAACATAATTACAGAGACCTGGTTCTCCAGGTTGGGAGCCGAAAGCAAGGGCGACGACCTCACTGTATAAAAACATTAATGTTGTGAAATCCAAGAAGTGAAATCTGGATCGTCTGATTCACGGAACAGACTAATCTGGTAGAATCTTCTAAGGAAAGCTATGGCTCAGAAAGAGTTGTTTTGCCAATGATGATGAATGGCAGGTGGACAGACCTTAACGCAGTGACAGCAGTATAAGATGCCGGAAACTCTGAACTTCTGGAACTATGAGTCCTCTTCGTACAGCACAGAAACTAAATGACTTTTCCTTTGTTCACAGACGAGCACATCACGAAGAACTGTCAGCAGGACATAACTGTGGTAGGGGAGGGCTTTGTGGAGACTCCGGGGTACCCCCAGTTCAATGTGGAGCGGAATTGCGCCTGGAAGCTACGGACGCAGGAAGGACAGCGCATCCAGTTATCATTCCTCGACATCTCACTCAGAGGTACTTGCTTCGACGCTTCCGAGAAGATGCTGAGATTATCTGGGCAAAAAGACAGAGGAACTAACAGGGGGACACAGAAAAATGCACAATGAGGAACTTCAAAATTTGTAACTTATTATGAAAAACTTAAATAGTTCCGTCCAGTGTGACTGGTTAAGATTTATTTTTTCTTATTTCAATTATTCATGCCCTTACATGTTTCGGTCTTCAGAGACCATGTTCAGAGGGACACCTTTACATCAATACAGTTAGAAACCATTATTAGCGTACATGTTCTAAAAGTTAAAATATACACACTCAATATAAATAATATACAATTGGGTGTCCCTCTTGAGACGACACGAACCTGGTTTACGAATTCCAATAGAATCTTAACAAACTATGTATATATTTTAATTTTTAGAACATGTACTGTAATAGTGGCTTCTAACAGTATTGATGTAAAGGTGTCCTGAAGATGGTCTCTGAAGACCGAAACATGTAAGGACATGTTTCACTTGTCACTTCACAATACATGTTTCGGCATCATTCTGCCATCCTCAGGCGTATCAATCACGTTAAACCTATGCACTGCCTGCCATCAAGTGTCCATTTATAAAATGATATAAAATTAGTGTTCGTCGTTGTTCAATAATAAAATTTATATATTACAACTTGTTAAGATCTATCATCTTGCATGCCGTATATCAAACTCGTGTGTAACGCCACTGAGGATGGCAGAATGATGCCGAAACATGTAGTGTGAAGTGACAAGTGAAACTGTATGCACTAAAAGACGGTTAATATATACACATTAGGGATATGAATCAGTGCAACAGGACGCTAAAATACAACATTATGTCAGGACATGAGTAATTGAAATAAGAAAATCTTAACCAGTCACGCTGGACGGAACTATTTAACTTTTTCATAATAGTGTGACGGACCAGAATGAAACAAATCAAACTGTAACTTACTCTTCACCAAATATTAGCGGGCCCTTATATGTAAACAGGTTGATGACCTTTCGGGCTCCGTCAAAGATGGTGAATGTTATGAATAGCTGAGCGACTATTAGCTTTTCAACAAAGATTCCGCTGCTCTGTTCTATGGAGTTATTTATTTACTTCCGTCTTTAATACAACACTGTTTACAATTACTCCTTAAATATTAAAATTACAATTAAATTGCTACATATTTCGGCCATATTTGGTCATCCTCAGGAAATTATTCTCACTTGTTGAAATTGCTACACAGAATTAGTTCTTAAGCTAAAATATTCCAATGTCACTCCATTTTCGTCGATCACTTATTAAAAGTACATCTCTTTGGGAACGTAACTCTTTTATGTCTTCTTGCCCTTTCTTCTTCTAGCGGCGTCCATGTTTTTCGTGCCGTTTTGTTTACTCCTATGAATATTGGTACGGCGTTGTTATTTTTATGTGCCCCATTAGCAGACATGTTCCCACGAAGTTGCTCTAGTCTAGTGTATGTCACTTTATTATTATTATTATTATTATTATTATTAATCCAGTCCACATGATTCATCACATTCCTATGAGATTATTCGGTCATCTACTCGTAGCTTTCTTAAGTGTCCTCTTCCCTTCACGTTTTCCAACTAACATGGCGTGTTACACGACTTGCCTATCTTATTTCTTAATGCATAAATCCTCCTACCTGATGTCTGGAAGACCAAGTAGCGTTACATATGGCAAGCGAAAAACTATTGATTTCAGATACTTTCGTTTTTAAACCTGCAGCCTATGGTAAACATGGTCCGCGCCATATCTCAAACGGTTAGTCGCTGGCTTCCCACCCCGGCGGCCCGGTTTAGATCCCGGGGTCTGCTCAAATGGGATTTGTGGTGGACAAAGTGACGCTGGGGCAGGTATTCTCCGAGTACTTCGGTTTCCCCTTCCAATTTTCATTCCACCAGTTGCTCCACAATCACCCTCACCTATCATCTGGGGCTGGTACAATAGGCCAGAAGTGGCCGCAGTACAAGGGACTTAGTCCCACCCCACTAGCAATAATGGTAAATATGAATAAATCACTGTTTCTTGCAACACACTAACATTTACGTTACACTTACAGGTTAGATGTGGTTTTCGATTCTTACTGAACATGTATGTTTGAAAATTAAGCTAATAAACAAGTTACAAGTAGAAAGCAAGAGTGCATTAATAATTTGTTATACAGGGTGATCCATTTAGTACAGTGCTCAAACAGAAAACACTACATATTACATCTCATAGAAAAAGAGAATATAAATGAGTGTTCACAAAACATGCCGAAAGTGTCCTCCGTTTTTCTGAATAAATGAGTGATGCCTAGTAATTCCCTAAATGTTCAATTTCTTCTTCGGCTACGATTTTAAATGCATCACTCTGTGTAATTATTTCTGTAGTTTATTTTGAAAAGAGAATTCTGGGCGATGAGTGGGTACTTTATCTAACTTTACATATTCTTCCCCCTCCACTGAGTATGACCGATGTTTTGTGCAGATATTGGTTCCTCAGAGACGAAATGCACAGACAGACTGACAGTGGAGGAAGAGGACCGAGAGCTGCTCTCCGTATGCGGAGAGAAAGAGGAATCAATCGTCATAGAGTCCGACGGCGGAGGACTGGACGTCTTCGTCTCCATCAGAAGCAAGAATATCTTCCCTAAGAGAGGCGTTCTTTTCCAGTACAAAGGTCAGCTGTTATTCAGCGACAGTGTGCGAGGGAATAATCTGATGCAGAATGACAGAAAACGGTATAGCTCAGGAACAGACAAATTACGGCCCACGAGGAGTTCATATATCTATCTTATATAAATAAAAATGTAAATGTTCGTTTGTTCAGGATCTTAAATCTCCGAAAGTTCTTCACCGATTGCTTCGAAATTTTGACACAACGTTGTATCCGAATGCGCGCGTGTTTTTATATACCCATTATATAGATGTCACACCTGTGGCAGGTAAAAACATGCGTCTTTTGAAAAACAGAATTGGAATTCGGAATTCAGAAGAGTCACCCCCATGGAAACGCTACAACAGACCGTTGCATAGGAAGTAACAATAGCGATACTGTATCGAAACTCCATGGTTACGACGAATACACGGAGCGTTCCCACAGAGACAACGCAATAACAATGGGTCGTTGCGTAGGAATCGCGGAATCAACAAAGCAGCGTTTCCGCGGTTATAACAAGGGCTCATTTGCATAGCAGCGGCCGAGGGTATTAAAGGGGGTTGAATTCATTCGCCCAGTCAATCTTGGAATAGCTGCCGCTGAAGAAGGTTGGAACCTAGACGCCAAGAGATACAGAAGTATTGGCCGAGAGATTGTGTAACCAGTAACTCTAATAGTGCAAGTGGCGATAATTGTAAAGTGTGCAGGAGAATCACAATAAAGATTCGCTATAATTAATAAGGCGTAAAGTTATTTGTAGCGTGACATACCTAAACAGACTACATGCATTACTGACGTGTGCAACACGTCACATCCACATTGGAATTGAGCTGTGTCGTTTACCATAGCGTTCATTTCGTGAGTATAGTTTATTTTTTCTTCTTTCGTTGTTTCTCATTTCGTTTTCTTAACTGTTTTCCTTATTTTTCAGTGCAATTGGCGGTCGAATTGAGCTGTGTAGATTGATCTGCGTTTGAATTGAAGTATTTCGTTAGTATTTTTTTTGTTTCTTCTTTGTTTTCCAGGTCGTGTTCTTTCCTTTTTTAATGTTTTGCAATTTTATATGTTTTTGTTATAACTTTCTTTCTTCTTCTTCAGTGCAATCGATCTGCTTTAGTTCATCCAAATAATGCCTCGCAGAAGATCAAACTTAGGTCGTCGTACTCGCGGAGCGGAAACAGTGCGACGAGTAACTGCAAATCAAACTGGGGAAGAACGGGCAGACTGAGCCACAGCAACGCGTGGCCGGGTACAGCTAGTTATTAATAATACCACACTTTAGATTACGTTAATTTGTTTGGTGTGAAATAGCTATGAATTTCCTAGTCGTAAGTTATATAAAGCCGATCACAGTGGCCGCGGGGTCTAACGAATGAACTGTCTTCGTTCGCTCGAACACTGGGATCGTGGGTTCGAATCCCATTCAAGACATGGATGTCTGTTTGCGTTTATTCTGTGTTTGTGTAGCCTTGCTACGGGCTGACCCACCTTCCAAACAGTCCTACCGACTGTCATAGATTAAGAAACTGAAATGAAACGAGAGTTTCACGGATGCCCTATGCTCCAAGTGGGAACAGGAGTAGAAGAAGTAGTAGTGGTAATTTTAGTGGTTATATAAAATATGAATTTGCCCTTTCCTGCTTCCTAGCGGAGACACAATAGGAAATATCAAAGCTATTACGATTTTTTTTTCTGTATAACTAATGTCGACAATGTTCTAGTACTGCATTTAAATTTTGGGGACGGATTTGAATACTTACTCCCCAAACCTATAATCTCTTCTAATTACGTGAGTAATGTTAACTACTTCAATTTCATTCTTTCTATAGAATGTTAGGTGTCGTACGTTGTCATACTGTTAAGGAAAGTAATCACATTTCCGGGTCAGGAGTGGGTATTTCTGCTTACCAAATACTGCGTGAACAAACAAAATGAATAATATTACAGATCTGAAAAGACTCTAGCAGTTTAATGCACATTATCCATATTACGAGCATTTTAAAATTGTGCTGATCCAGATTAACCTATTATGAAATAGTAGTAGTGCCGTATACAGTTAAATACGGACACTACAAATTAATTAGTAAACTGAAGTTCAACAGTTCTCTGCTCTCACCCCCCCCCAAGAAAAGCAAAAGAACAAAGAAAAAGTATATCAAATGTCGATCAACTATAAGAAAAAAATGACGAGGCTGTAAGAGGGCACAATACTGTCACGTGTTGGGTAGGTCACGCGACAAATAACTTCGCGTTGTTCTGGAACTAGCGAATTTATTCCACTCGCTCTTAAGGCGCGTCGACATTACTCGTGCTCGTGCGACTCGCTATGCTCGTGAGTAATGTGGACGATATGACAAATCACGAGACAAGCAAATTTAAAATTTTTAATTTAAAAACTATAGCCAATAAATTAAAATACGACTACAGCCTATACACACTGCGAGTAAATATACGGATCCTCGCGCGCCGAAGCCTGGCGAGCAACTGAAGTAGTGTGGACGAAGATTTACGAGCACAAGTAAAAGCCAGACGAGTCTCCCGACGAGCACAAGCCTGACGAGCAAGAGCACGAGTAATGTGGACTCGCCTTTACAGTTCCACAATTTACAGCTCCACAACTACTGCCATCGGCAGTATCACAATTACTTCCCCTGCTTCCATTCACTCCGGCGAATGCTAGACTGCAATTGACTGGTTACTCTCTCTCACTGGCAAATACTCGTGTTATGTAGCTTCCGCACTGACAACACATAAAGCAGTGACGTGATAGCTTTCACTGTTGCGTGACGTCGTGTTTACCGATTACCTAGCAACAGTCGCTGCACGGGCTCCCCTGTTGCGTGACGCCGTGTGTATAAAGGCGTTGCTCGACAACGCTGTGTAGCAACCAGCGCGCTTCGGTTCGGCTCGGCACGGCACGGACAAACACCGCTTTCCTTACTGTTGCGTAACTTGGCAACAGATCGTTTATCAAGGGTCTGCTTCGTGGTAACTCGTTCCACCTCCTGTTGCCCAGCAACGGTTAGACATGTCACACTATGATTATGACTTTCTAATTATACGAGTAAAATTTAATTAATTATTTCGGGCGTTTCTTTTTCTGTAAAATTTTCGCTGTTACTTATTTCGATACCGATACAAAAATAAAAAAGTTCTGGGAAGAATTATTCTCTTGCTTTCTTTTGACACGACACGGATCGCATAAAAAACGACGCCTCCAATAACTCTTCGTTGCCGCGGGAACGTCTTTACCGAGCTGTTACCTTCTCACGATAGGGGACACACGCGTCCGATTCTTCTATTGTTGCATGTATTCGTTGTTGCGGGAACGTGTTTACCGAGCCGTTACCTAGCAATGGAAAGAGGGATACATTTTTCCGAGCATCTGCCTAGCAACGATAGAGGGACACATACACTGACACACAGACTGATGGGAGGGTTTTATAAAGTACGCCATTGGGATGGTCTCCGGTGGCATGACGTACATAGCCAAGTTTCGTAAAGAGGGTTCAGGATTTCAGAATTTAATAAGGGGAATGCACAAATACTCAGACAGCACAGTGATCGCATAACTTATTTTCATTTTTTAAATACGGGAAATAGGCTTAAAACGGGTACTTCTACTTGCCGTTTCTAGACAGAGAACAGGAAGAAATTCGTGCATGACTGCGATGTTAACGAACATGAGGAAGAAAATAAGTTTCAAAATAACGAAATTTGGAAGAAAGTACTTGTGCACCGCATTTTTATCTTGCAGCGTTGGGATGCCCGCCGCTGAAGACGCCTGCGGATGGGTACCTGGTGGACCGCAATGCCTCGCATGCGCAGTATATGTGCTGTGTCGGGTTTGTGTTCCCAGACACCTCGAGGCGCGACCGGAGCCTGTACTGCGAAAACGGATATATGTGGACCACAGACTTACCGGACTGTATCAGTAAGTCAGCATTCAGTCCACCACTAAACGTGATGTCTCTTCAGATCACATGGAACAGAGGCCTTCTTGAAAAACTAATAATCATTCCGAACAATTCCACGCTCTTTAAGGAACCAAATGATTCCTTGTCGTATTCATGACTGGTCACTTTACACCCCACGAATCCAATCAACATCATCACACTCAAAAGAAAGTCGTCTTCTGGGTTTTGGCGCCGTGTATTCTTCGTTTTGGCTGACGTTTCGGAGGAACGTATCGCCTCCTCCGAAACGTCAGCCAAAACGAAGAATACACGGCGCCAAAACCCAGAAGACGACTTTCTTTTGAGTGTGATGATGTTGATTGGATTCGTGGGGTGTAAAGTGACCAGTCATGGAGTCTTATGAATAGACAAGGAATCATTTGGTTCCTTAAAGAGCGTGGAATTGTTCGGAATGATTATTAGTTTTTCAAGAAGGCCTCTGTTCCATGTGATCTGAAGAGACATCACGTTTAGTGGTGGACTGAATGCTGACTTACTGATACAGTCCGGTAAGTCTGTGGTCCACATATATCCGTTTTCGCAGTACAGGCTCCGGTCGCGCCTCGAGGTGTCTGGGAACACAAACCCGACACAGCACATATACTGCGCATGCGAGGCATTGCGGTCCACCAGGTACCCATCCGCAGGCGTCTTCAGCGGCGGGCATCCCAACGCTGCAAGATAAAAATGCGGTGCACAAGTACTTTCTTCCAAATTTCGTTATTTTGAAACTTATTTTCTTCCTCATGTTCGTTAACATCGCAGTCATGCACGAATTTCTTCCTGTTCTCTGTCTAGAAACGGCAAGTAGAAGTACCCGTTTTAAGCCTATTTCCCGTATTTAAAAAATGAAAATAAGTTATGCGATCACTGTGCTGTCTGAGTATTTGTGTCGATTACGGACTACATGCCATGGAGTTTTTTATGGCATTCTCCTCGATTTGACAAGTATCAAATTTGATAAAGATTTCGAAGTGTGAATCCCTTTATCATGCAATTTTCATCCTCCCTGGGTTAGCTATAACAATAAACAGCCGCATCAGGTTGTTACTATCGAGAAATAATTGATAATGTAATAGGAAATTCAAGAGAAGTGGGACAGAAGGTAGAGTTTTCACGTTGCTTCACTAGCTAAACACTGCACTGGGGGAGTGGATGTACACATCCACGCATTCTTGACCTCCGCAATAGCTGGAGATGAGTGGTCAGCTTCATGCTCCTGACGCTTTACTCCCGGTACTCAATGACTACGAGGCTGGATGGGCTCCAAGAAGAATCTTGCGCCTACCAGGACTCGAATTCCGACCCCTCGGCCATCCAGCTCTTAGCCAGTCGGCCACGAAATAGGATATATAATTTGTATAAGTCCAAGTTATGAAATTTGGGGCATTCATTGGAGTGAACTACAGTCCAGAATATCAGCATTTGTTCTGCACGGTTTGAGTTTAGTTAAGCCTGCACTAAACCTCACGAAACGGCGGACGTAACTGCAATCACTCACGAAACGGCCGAGGTAACTGCAATCAGACTCGGAGAGTAGAGCTTTTGCTGTGTTCACTCGGCCTAAAACAAGCCGATGGTTCACAGACACGTGAACAAATGCGCAGCAAAGATAGAATTTCAGAAGTAACGTCTATCTTGAATTAGAAAGCTTTCAGCACACATTAAATTGAATACACATTTGGTACATCAATGCGACGTTCATAACATGAAAAGCTGATGAAAAATGGAAATGACGTGGCAATGGGAATGGGGGGGGGCTGTTTTCCTGGAGGTAACACTGACCACTCGCCTCCATCTAGTGCCGAGAACAAAAATGGTGGAGCTATACCTCCACTTTCCCATACGTATTCATCATGGCTTGGAGCTTCATTAATTAAGCCCAGGAATAACATTGCTTATTTATTTACTTACTCATAACATAATTATTGTTCAGTTAGCTCAGAAACCGCAATAATTATGAAGAAAGCGCTCTGGACATAAAATGTCTCATTCTTTCTGCAGTGTTACTGATGTTCTCTGCGATAAATTTTGAGCGAGATATGGTCAGAAGACTAAAGCAGGCGTTGTATATATCCGCCGTCAAACGGAAATTTAAATGACTCGACAAATTTTCACAAATTTCTCCAGTACCAAATTTCAAGCAGCCGTGATAGTTAGTCGGTATTACGACTGGCTACGGGCTGGACTGCCGAGGGGTCTGAGTTCGATTCCCGGCAGTGCAAGAGTTTTCTCCACAGACTCCAGACAGACTGATGCCCACACAGCCTCCTATCCAACGGGTATGGGGAGCTCTTTCTCCCGGGGGGTTAAGCCACAGGGGCGTGAAGCTGACCATTCACCTTCAGCTAGTGCCAAGGTCAAGAAAATGTGAATCTATACATTCACTCTCGCATACGCCTTCATGGCGCAGTGCTTAATTATTTAAGCACAGGGACAAATTCACTTTACCTTACAGATGTAAACAGACCGTGCCGGTGAAGGCTGGATAATAATTTTCCCTTATCGCCACGCTGCGTCAAATTCCCTTATGCATCCGCTGCCTTAACATTTAAAGGGCAAAATTCTTCTCCTGTCCACAAGGTCCAAACCGGTTTGGGGCCCATGCAGCTTCTTATCCATTGAGTACAGAAGGGTAAAGCGGTCGACGCGTGAAGCTGACCACCTACCTACATCTAATGCCGAGGTCAAAAATACGTGGATCTATACCTCCACTCCACGATATATCTTCATGACATAATGCTTAACTACTTAAGCACAGGGACAGCTTTACTTTTACCAGTTTCAAGAAAATCGGTATAGTAACGAATGGACGGACTGACCGAAGTTACTAGACGCTCTGCAGCATAATTTCCCTACTGAATATCTCTTCTAGCAGAAATGATATGTGAAAACACCTTCATAGTCTACAAAGAACTGTCTTCTGTCACACCTTGTAATCTCGTAAAAAGTTGCAAACGTCTAGAAGGAACATGCCGTGGCTAAGGCAGCAAGTTCCTCCGAAACACTGGCAACTTTCTACCAGACTGTACGCCGCTATAGCCCAGATAAATGTAATGTGCATACTTTTGTGGTTCTGCTGTGCCATGACACTATGTATTCCGGTGTACGAGTACCCACAACAGAGGAGCACACTGCCCGAACGATGAGTTTCTTTAGTTTCCTACCAACGCTAAACACTTACAGGCCAGTAGGCTTCAGTAGCCTTTCTCATCACAGTGGTTGCTCTAAGCATCACCTGCTTAACATTAAAAGAATGCATTTTGTATTTATGTGTTTCATACTATCATGTGTATGTGCGTGGCTATATCGTAGAGACCGTATGGACTGGATATTGGATTTATTGACACAACCCGGAACTTCAATAAATTACAGCACCACTGAGAATCTCCACAAGTCACAGATCACTAAGTCAAAGTCAAAGTCACATTGCGACTGACGGTCGGTCAGTCAGTAAGTCTTGGTGTCGAGCCCCATCTGGGGCTCATGACCAGATATTAATTATTACCGTTTGACAGTTACGGTCTTGTTTCTGTGGGGCGTCCTCTCTGACGAGAGGACGGGTCTGTCTTTTGTATATGCTGCTGGCACTTGCCAGCGCAGTCTTTCTCGGGTACGAGTCCCTTGGGACTCGCGACAATATTTTGCTGTCTCAGATTTGAGACTTACCATTTCGTCGCCTCCTACGACTCGCAGGGTCACGGTAGAGATATTCCACCCCTCCTCCACACGGGGTTGTAAATTTCAAAGTCAAAGTCACATTGCGACTGACGGTCAATCAGTCTGCCTGTCTTGGTGTCGAGCCCCGACTTGGGCTCTTGACCAGATTTTTTTTTTCTTTATCAGCAGCGTCATCAGTAGCGACTTGAAGCACAGAGCAAATGATGCTCGAGATGGTTCAAGTTCGTATAGCAACAGGCGTGACCAGAGTGGTTTGAACGGCTGTTGTACTGCGATGTGGAAAGCAAATGGAAAAACTACCACATTATCACTTTTCCTGGATAGTCTCTTTCCAAAAACAGAAGATCGCATTAAGTGGAGAAACTGTTTTGGAAGAGACTGTGGACCTGTCGTCTGACAGATTACTGATGATGATGATGATGATAATTACTGTCCTGTTCATTTGGTGCGCCCTCTCTGACGAGAGGTCGGGTCTGTCATTTGTCAGTCATAGTCTGTGTTAGTAACTCCATTGTCAGTATTTACATATATTTACAAGCTAAGCTTTTAACCAGCCTGCTGTGTCTTCAACAGCGGTTCCTTAGCAACGGCTTCTAACAGTGGAGATTATTTAGCTCCTCGCACTGACGTCGTTACTGTCCCCATAACTGAACTCTTGTCAACTGTCAACTCAACTATAGCCTTCCTCGCAGAACTAGACTCAACTGCCAACACGCAACTGAGTTCCAGACTGGCGGCCATTCCACACCAACCTTCTAGTCTTATCTTCACAGGTCTGACTTCCAACTGACAACATCTCTCACTGACCAACCAATTACTTCATTTCATTCAACTGAACTGCACTCAGCCAAGTCAAGGTCACATTGCAACTGATGGTCAGTCAGTCAGTCAGTCAGTCAGTCAGTCAGTCTTGGGCTAGCGCCCAATCTGCGGCTTATGACCAGATATACTGTTTGACAGTTTCCGTCTTGTTTTTGTGTGGCGCCCTATCTGACGAGATGACGGGTCTGTCTTTTGTCAGAGTCATTTGTCATAATGTAAATGATATGTACTACATTTTACATGTTAAACATGTTAATAAATGTACATAAAATATCTGGGGTCCTCGCTATATAGCTTCTGGGCAAACCCAACAGAAAACACCGCTTCCAGCAGTACGTCTACTGTTGTTATGGGCGATTGACTAGCAATAGCTCGGATATTGTTTACGTGTTTACCGGCCGTTACCAAACAAGGAATGTTCCGGCGAGAGCTGAATGGACTGGGCTTATGACCAGTCAGCTCTCAAAGTCAGAGTCAAAGTGACCTAGGCACTCAATCCTTGAGCACACAGAATTATTTTAATCCCTGGACGTGACTATGCAATCTGTTTCAGACGTTACAAACACCATCTGGACCAGGAACAGTTCACTCATCCGGTTACCTGATACAGACACGAACCTAACAACTGCGATGGCTGCGGTCATCAAGGAGTCTGATTTCATTTACGGTAAGGAAAATTGTATTGTTAACGACATAAGCAGAGATACTAGTTCAGACAAAGCCTATGCTTATTCTCGTTATGTTCTCTTTCAGATATAATTCTGCCAACACTGATAATATGTCTACTGCTAATTGGAAATGGAGTCATAATATTCATAATCTTCTACTTAAGGAAAAGGTAAGCACGCAAACCTACATTTATAAATTCAATATTCCCAACTCTGAATTTCATATCGATAATACTCAAATGCAGTTTTTATGGCACAAAAAGGACACTGAGACTCTCTCCTTTTCAAAGATACTAGAGAAATAATCGCGTTTATTCTGAAAATAGTTAGAAATAAATAAATAAAAATTTGCGGGTAAAATGCAGAATTTCTTAATGTTAACACAGGAAATAAAATGAGGTAAAGATATTGCATCGGCCGGTCACGGCAGCCGAGCGGTCTAAGGCATGTACTGTCTTCGCTAGCTTGGAAACCGGGATCGTGGGTTCGAATCCCACTCAGGGCATGGATGTTTAGTTTGTGTGTGTGCGTTTTTCTGTGTTTGTATACAGGTAGAGGCCTTGCGACGAGCTGATCACCCGCCCAAGGAGTCCTACCGAATGTGTAAGATCTAGAAAATCCGAAGTGAACGGAGAAGTTCATGGAGGTAGGCCTAGGCCCACTGGGGCTGTAGTGCCAAGGAAAAAAACAAGATATTGCATCACAACCTAAATATAATTCTTCATCAATCACCATTTACAAGCGTAGTAATGGTGTGAAATTTTGAGCTAATGTCCAACACACTTAACACAGACAAAGGAAAACTGAAGACCACTGAATAATTACAAATGTATAAAATACATAAAAACATAAATAAGGCATAAACAACAAAATATTTGTACGTCTGGCAAACATTAATATCTTTGACTGAATCAGGGTAATGTACAAAAGATTTGCTTTGTTGGGATATTCTGGAAGTTGCGAACTCCTATCATGCTCACAGAAAATGGCGATTATCAAATTTAACATATAGCATAACATTCGGCAATTAATTTGACAACAATTCTGTTATTTCATATTAATATGACTGAGCCCAAATTTCCAATGCATTAAGCTTCCTAATTACATGCGTGCATCACGAACGGCCAATGCCGGTTGCGTATCAGGTAAAACTATCCCTGTAACAGGCCGTGGAGGCCCATAGGTCTGTAAGACGTCGAGAATCCCACATTTTCTTTAGGCAGTCGGCTCACAGATGGCGGTAAAGTTGTCCGCCTTAGGCGCCGGCAGCCCTTTACCAACGGGAAGATTCCTGGTACTCATTTCTGTTAGAGGCTGAGTCGACCCCAGGGCCATGTAGTGCGGCTGGAAGGATTAGGTCAATTGGAAAAATCCACTTCATCTTGACTGGAAACCGCAACCTTCCGGCTTGTAGCATAGTGCCTCAACCAACTATGGTACCGCGTACCTGGTTGCATATCAGTCAGTCGCAAATAAAATGGAAATATTATTCAATACACACTGAGACGACAAACTGAGGACTACAGGTAGTCTGTTGCGTGTAAAATCTCTTGAAAAGACACGGACCTCTGAAGAAAATGTCAATCGCATTAGGCATTCCAGCGAAGTCCGCACAAATCAATTCGTGCCGCTAGCTTGCAGTTACAAATTCCGCGTTCAACAGCGCACAATGTGCTATACAAAAGCTCCGCTTAAGAGCGTACAAGATTCAAATGATCCATGCACTATAACCGAGTGACCAAGCAGCACGCACAAACTTCGCTGAGGACACGCTAGAAAGAACTGATGCGTCACCCGATTTCCTCTGCCAAGTGTGCTTCTCGGAAGGGGCGACGTTCCATGTCAATGGAGCTGTAAATAGATACATCTGCTGGATTTGGGGCAGTCAAAATTCACACGTCACATGTGAGTTGGAGAGAGGCAGCCATAAAGTGAGCGTGTGGACTGGCTTATAGTACAAGACATGACCGTTTTTTCTTTTCGGAAAAGTCTGTGACCGGACATTCTTACTTGGACATGCTGGAGCTGTATGCGCTGTCCCAATTACCACCTCAGACCATCCTCCAACAAGATGGGGCGTCGCCACATTTCTGCCACCATGTTAGGAAACACCTGGACAGAGAGATGGCTGGGAGATGTATCGGCAGAGGTGGCCCAATCACTTGGCCTCCTAGGTCGCCAGATTTAACCCCATTGGATTTCTTTGTGAGTTGTGCGAAGAACATTGTCTACCAGGTTAAGATCAACAACCTTCAACACCTGAAAACCTTCATAAGGGACGCTGTGGCTATGGTAACACCAAACATGCTTCAAGCAACATGGAACGAGGTCGAATATCGTCTGGATATACTGTATGTCGTGCCACCAAGAGAGCACATGTTGAAATTTACTGAGAAAGTTATACACTCAGAAAAAAAAATCATAGCGTCCCTTTGTAATGGTGTAACCCACAAATATATATAATAAATATTTCTGAGACATAATTATTTTATTTGGCGGATAGAAGCGACCAGAAGACGAGGAAGAAGTAAGAAGATGCTGGATGACCTTGGGGACAGAAGAGGATATTTTCATTTGAAGGAGAAAGCTCTAGATCGCATCAAGTGGAGGAACTGTTTTGGAAGAGACTGTGGACCTGTCGTCTTGACAGATTACAGATGAATGAATGAATCTTTCTTCGGGACACACTGTATAGTGCTGATACTGATGGCGTTGCAAAACAAACCATAAAGAGAACCATGATGAACTGAAGAGAAACGGGATACTCAGTCTGTCAGCGTAATAGGAACCCATGCTTATCGCGTTGGCAGTATGTGCCATGCCGAATCACAGTGGCTGCGTGGTCTAGGGCATGAACTATCTACGCTCGCTGCGGTTAGTGGCTGGCTTCCCACACCGGCGGCCTGGGTTCCAGCCCGTGTCTGGTCAAGTGGGATTGTGGTTGACAAAGTGGCGCTGGGGAAGGTTTTCTCTGAGTACTTCGGTTTCCCCTGCCAATCTTCATTCCACCAAATTCTCCATCATCATAATCACCCGGGGCAGGTACAACATACCAATCAGTGGCCGACGTGCCGAGTGGACCCAGTTGGACTCCCCCCATGCGAATTAAAAAAAAAAATCTTCACTCGCTCGAAATCTTGGATCGTGGGTTCGAATCCCACTCAAGGCAAGGATGTCTGCCTTTATTCTGTTTTTGTTGTCTTGTGTACGTAGCGGCCTTGTGACGAGTTGATCTCCTTTCCAAGGAGTCCTACTGACTGTCTTAGGATTAAGAAGCTGAAGTGAAGCAAAGCATTTCACAGACACCCAATGCTCTAAAGCAGTGGTTCTCAACGTTTATGAGACCGCGGCCCAGTAAGTCCTTTCTTTATAAGCCGAGAGCCCAGTCCCAACAAATTTACTCGTAAATACCTTTACAGTTTTGTTAAAGTTCATGCATTAAGCTAACTATAAAATATTTATTCATGAAAAATGCTTAGAAAATAAAAATGACAAATTCCAGAAGAGCCTCTCGCGGCCCAGGATAATTGATGCCAGGGCCCACTACTGGGCCGCGGCCCGGCGGTTGAGAAGCACTGCTCTAAAGGGGAAGCAACAGAAACGAGGGAGAGATGGATAAACGAGAGAGTACATGTCATATGATTTTGCTACACTAGACATCATCTTACCGTCTTCACACGATGAATGCAGGTTAATTCTTCAGAAGGAAATGTTTTCGACGTGTTGCTACACGAAATTCATTTTGCACATGTAATTTCAGTCACTTCGGTTAATTAGCTGAAAGCACTGATATTTTGAAACACAACTGAACTGTTTACAGTTACTAGCGAATCCAACCGCACTCTGGACCTGTATAAATTGATACACAAACTGTTCCACTGCGTAAATAAATTAGGGAGCTTTAACATAAAACTATGGTAACTGTCTCTTCCGCCATATTATGATAACTGCAATTAGCGGGAACGTAACATGCGGCAAATGCATCAAGTTGGTTGCATATCGAATGTACGTACATTGATATTCGAGTGTATCGAGAATTTGAGAATCATGTCGATTATCGTATGACTAGATATGGTAATTTGTAGGAAAAATTTGTTCACTTAAAATAACAAGATTATTACTGTAATACGTTTATAAAAATTGTAGTAAGTTGTGTATTGTATTAGCAACTTGCGTTTTTACCATTTCTTAGACATGCATATTCCTGTGATCAGTATATGTAAAGGCGATGGCACACCAAGGAAACTGGCAACCACAACGTAACTGAAATTTCCGAAAATTGTTATCAGCCTGAGTTGAACACATGTTACTAAATGGAGCAGCACAAACTAAGGAAAATGCGTTGCCGTTTCCTCAATTTGCACTGGTCCATTCAGTAACATGTGCTCAACTCAGACTGATAACAATTCTCAGAAATTGCGGTTGCGTTGCAGTTGCAAGTTTCCTTGGTGATTCATCGGCCTAAACCTACATAATCCATTTTTTCAATACTTGAAAATTTGTTTTGATATTAGTCTTTTAAAACATATCTTATACTACTTTTATCAGAAATTAGTATATATTCTTATATTCCCGCATGTGCTTTGGCCCTTTTACATTAAATTATTTAATTTTGTATGTTGTGTTAATCGTGTAATGTTTGTCATTGCCATCAAAGACTTACTGCAATCATTTTAAAAATATACCCTTTGTAATTATTGTAAGCCTCATCGGCCTAACTTCATGGATCATAGTCCCTCTTGAGAAGCTAATAATCACTAAGTCAATAAGTTCCTCACATTTTATGAAACCCAAAAGTTCATTATTTTCACACTCAATTTCTCTAAGATCCATCTTAACCTTATCCTCTCACCTATGCCCAATCGGGTTCTCATTTTCAGATCTATTGACTTACATTTTGTGTGCTCACTATGTTCATGAGAGAAATAACTGTGCTGTTTGTCAAACACACAGGAGGAAATTGGCCCAGCAAGCTGATGATGAGGAGCTGGGAGCTATTTTCCAGCCTCATGATGGCAGCGTCAATGACAAAGCAATAAGTGTGTGACGTTTCCAGCCGGCCCAGGAATTGGAGATCCGGGCCTGTCGTTCTGACTTTTATGTGATGGGATGGGACTAAATTGAAGCTTTCAAGTGAGAACACTCAGTTTTCTACAGCTGTCATAATGTGGGCCATTAGTGTCTACTGTATCCTAATAATTTAAGTTTTTACTGTACAAAAGAATTCTAGTCTATAATGTTGGTGAGAATACGGCTTAATTTAATGTAGAGTAATGTAGCAGATAAAATATAGACATCTAAATTATTCTATTACCCTTCATCAAGTTGACCTAATTTATAAAAATACCTTGTTATAGAACAGTTGTAAGAACTTAATATATTGAAATACAGAATGGTACATGAAATGATCCAGTATTATATCTATTAATAAAATCTTTATTTCAACTACAATACGAGAAACTAACATACAAAAATAAAGGTCATTGCATGGAGATTTATTCTCTGTGAATCAAGTGTTCAATATGACCATCATTATGTCTGGCAACTTCTTCACCACGAACCTTGATGTTGTTGATTACTCGATGACACATATCATCAGTTATCTTATTGCAGGCTTGAATAATTAATGCTATCAATTCCATTACTGTTTGTGGCTTTTTCAGAGAAATCTTTTGCTTAAGAAATCCCCAAAGAAAGTAATCACATGGATTTAAATCAGGACTATTCGGGGGCCAGTTCTATTCGCATGTGAAACAATCAGGAAATTGGTTTGAGATGACACTGAACGGTAAGTTTAGGCAGCACTGTCATTTTGTCATAATACATGTTCAAATCACTTTTGAATGTCTGGATGTCCCTAGTTATGCTGCAGCCTTCCTTGTTGATATACTGGGCCTTTTTTGCAGCATAACTCTGACAGCCTCAATGTTCATTGGAGAATGCACAGATGAAAGCCAGCGACAGTTCCTCTCAAACACTGAACCATCATTATTAAACTGGTTTTAAATTTTATGAATGGTTTTGAATGAAGGCACCCATTGCGTTTGAAAATGGGCATGAAACTGCCGCAGTGTGATCACAACACTTTTTGTTCCAGTAAAGGAAAAAATTGCTTCTATGCATTGTTCTACAGACAGTCTTCTATTGTCAACCATCTTGTGTAACTGGTGCATGAGCAGTGTGACACTAGAGAATCCAGGAAGAGCAAGAACTAATCTCCATGATCTACTGTAAGTGTTACCATGTTACAAAACATTGTTCACTGCATGGTTGAGTAATGAATACTAAATCAAATACTGGATCATTTCGTGCACCATTCTGTATGTTAAATCAGATGAATGTTCTTAAACTGTGCGGTGGAAGCTCAGTAACTCATAGTACTGTGTAATAAGAATTGCAATACATGCCTTTAAACAGCCTGTAAAGAGAACACACAACTAGCACTCCTTGTCTGGCAACTAAATGATTGAAAATAGCAATCATCGTTATGGACATATGGGAAGTGATGCATGCAGTTTGTTAGGCATATAGCAATCTTCAGGGTAACAAATGAAGGCAGCAGGTTCCTCAAAAATGGTGGTACCTATGTATGAAAACTCATGGCACCACAGGCGAGAAGACTATAATCTTAATATTCACTGCCATGAGAATTCCAGATCTCAAAAACAGCCATGTATTTACATCATTACAAATTTATTATTACATTTGCTAACTCAATAAAAATTAACAAGCATCATATAATTATTGAACTGCAGTACTTCTACATGTCTTTAAAATTCATCGCTTTTGTAGCTTACCATATAAGAAAAGCATCATGATACTGTAGGAGATTATGGTACTGCAGTGTGACATCAGAGCACAGGATGTTGCAAGTGCTGTCAGTAGGTGGATCTGCAAACAGTAGTCCTTCTGTCATCGACTGTTATTATATTCATGAAAGACGTTTATTTAGGGGAGATCCTTGAAGCCTGTGCTTTGTATTTTTTCAATACATAGCATTACATTGGATGGTGGTTAACATTATTTTGGTCTGATATTTATGGCTTTTAATGATATATATCATGTTGTATTGTATTTTTGTGGTACTTACACAATTCTGAAAATTTAGCAATTGTATCCTGACACTTGTAATACCAAACATAATTTAACCCTGAAAGTTACATTACTGGTAGCCAGTAAGTTCAAAATACTCAACTGATAAAAAACACTGCCAGTTGCACTTCCAGGATAGTTCATAAGAAGATGTCAGTTGTTGCTCCTACATACATAATGTGGCATATTGGCCCTATGCAGGAACTGTTGAGCCACAGAGGCCTCGGGGCACGCATGCAACGCGAGAGTTGCAGATTGTATCGGCATGTTGCTAGTCTTCTGGGTTGCTGTGTCTGGTAAATGGATAGATGTTTCAGAGGAACATACTGCTTCTGATTTCAGGATTAAAGTGAGCCGAGATTGAAAAATGGCTTACCATTAACCCTGAAGATGGAGAACTTTGTTCCTCCATAATGTTGAACCCACCTACCAGACAACACATAACACTGAAGACAACAATGTGAAACCTCACTTATACCTGTATGCTTCAGGAATTTCGTTCCCATAATGTAACTACCGTCATGCAGTAGAGTCCTCGTTAAGAAGCTTAGTCTCTCAGCTAATCATGAAATCTCCTGCTATTTAAGAAACCCAGATTAATTACCTTGCTCACAGCAGCCCACAAATGCATCATGTCTTGGGCTAGGTGCATCCAGTCCATATCCATACCCCCTATTTTTAAGTAAATTTTAAGTATTACCCTCCCATCTATGCCAAGGTCTCCCAAGAGATCTACTGTCTTAAAGACGCACAGATTTCTTTCTTTCTTTCATATACAGAGTTAATTAACTGACAGCATGTTGACAGCTGGACTTCAGAACAGCCCCACCTGTTGAAAAGAAATATCCTCTGTTCATCTAATATTAATGCCTCCAATTTGAATACAATCTTGGTTCAACATAAAACAAGTAGTGACCAATGTACTGAAATGTGATGCTTCCACTATGCAGTCGGAGAGTGTATGGCACTAGGAAGATTTTTGGTCTGTTATAAGTTAATTCATTCACCTACTGTTTCCATCTTTAGCCTACCAGAGTTTAATTGTATCAATAGTGATCTCAGGGAATGTGTCTAAAGGTACTGCGTACGAGAAAATAAAAGCACAAATGTGTACTCATCCAAATGCCATAAAGCAGAATTTAACTGTCTACAAAAATACTCTTGCAATACTTTCTCCACTTCAAATCCTGCCCATTAGTGAACAAGGAAATAAGAATTTGATAAATTTATTTATGAAAATGAATGAAAATTTTAGTAAAGATAATTTTTCTCAAAATAACATTTTCTGTTATAATGTATCTGTGAGGTAATTACTGAGTTCCAGTTTTGTTCTTACTAATAGTAATAATTCAGACTGTGACTTTATATGGAGTCTAACAGCTTTGTGATGAGAAATGAAACTACGATTGCTTAGTATTAATGTGATAAAATATCGTTCATATAGTTTGAGTGGAAATAAGGGAAGTGTGTTTTATTGAACATGACTTATCTGTGTTTGTGTGGGATATCCTGACCGGCCTATAAGTGAAATGATGTTATGGCTGTCCCATTTCTAAAGCTGCATGGAGTAACAAATGAGTATATACGAGTAGGTGTTAAGCAGAAATTTAAAGAAGTGACGACATTATTTTAGTTTTAATGCTTTCCAGTATAGTCTATTAAGAGTAATAATCCATGTTTCATCACAACCCATGATATATAGAACATAATTCAGTGTCTGTTATGTTTAAAACTAGTTAAAGGAAACCAGAACATAACATCTATATATTAACATTCATAAGTAAAACTAGAATAACTGTTCAGAAGATTTATCTGAAATTTCATCAATATGAATTCATACCAGATAGAATAATATCATGCACAGACAAAACTTAGCAGCATAAAAATGTAACACTGTTTAACAGAAAATTAGTATTTCACTGAGCTAGGAACTTCTTGTTGTGGTATACTGCATCCTCTTCCTGAAGTTAGAAAACAAGAGGATTGGCTAGAGCATGAATTATGTTTACATTTTGTTCTCTGTTGAAGGGTTTCATAAACTTAAACATTATGATCAGAATAGCACACTCCTTCAGTAGTATGCAGTACTTACCATCTGAAATTCCATTTTATAATTGGTCAATATTAAAAATGTATGCTTGCAGCAAGAAAGATTTGGGTCTCCAAGATTCTGAGTGTGAGATATGTTGTCTAATTTGTGTGCTTGGGCTCGCTAGCAGATGCTTGCTTGGTGCGTCAATTATTGCTGTGATGTGTATTCTGTCCACATACTGGACATACAAATTATCACTGTTGCACACTTCATTGTTGTCTACACAACTTTTGTAAACACTTTAGTGGCTTCACAGAAGTGATAACTAATGTTTATACTCTGTAGTTACCAAAATGCTTGAACTAAATGTTACAAAGATGTGTAAAATTAAACTATATTTTAGGAATATTACAGTATTTCAGTCTTGCCTTCAAAAGTGTTAACAGAAAAATGATGTATCTAATCTTTAAAATTTTATGAAACATTCCAGTCTTGTACTAATGTATCAATTTTTCTGTTTATGGAAAAATAAAGTTTATATACAATCAGCATAATAATTTAATTCTCCCATTAGACATGTCAGTAAGATTCCAAATCTGAATCTCACCCTTAAGACCAATTCTCCAGGGCTGGATTTACAGTTGCAGGGGGGCTGGGGCAAACAAAATGGGGAGACCATTATCGGTGGCAACAAATTTAGGTTATGACAATTTTATTAATTTCTTATAATAACTGAAAATATATAACAACTTTTTGTGATTTTAAAGAAGCAAATGTCCAAATAAAATATGAAGATTCTATTTCTGTGTTGTTGAGGCCCCAAGGCAACTGCCCTGCTTGCTCCCCCTCAAATCTGGCCACCCAACTCTCCCAAGTTCCTTGTAATTGACAACAGCTCAAATTAAAATTACTGACTTTTGTAAGCGAAACTGTACAGTTTGGTAGGTGCCAACATTTCAGAGGAACCAGTTTCTTGTACATCCTCTACTCTAAAGATGGAGGCAGCAGCTTACTCTGAAACACTGGAATCTTATCAAACTACACAGACTCATATCCCAGAAGACCATAATCGGAAATTAACCTCCTTGAGAGATCATGGTGAGTGTAGTCACAGAGAAAAAGAGACATTTTCAATGATATGTAAGGGGGTATGGATGAACACATTCAACACAATAATAAAGATGGTCTTATATGGCAATGGAATGCATACCACCAGAAAAAAGACAAAAGAACTGGTAAGGAGGAATAAAACAGGTACTGAAAACCAAAAACTTTAATCAACAACTGGCTTCAAGAACAGACATGGACATAACACTGGAATATACAGACATGTAAAGAAATGTTACAGTAGGCTAATCTTATTATGAAACAATTTAAAGATGTTTCTAATTGACTGAATGGAAAAAATCTTATTCTTAAAAAACAATTCTCTTTTATCTACTGTAATTACAATTAACAAATGAAAGTTCTATTTCAGCTTTCATGGATCAGACCACTTGGCTTGTTGCATTTCAGAAATAACTTCAGACACTATGAATTTAGTCACCTGATAGGAACTCTTGCATGGTGTATCAGCTGACTGTAGGCCTCTACTTACACAGGGCAACATAAACACATAGTCCAAGCAGAATTTGAAACTATGATTCCAGCTTTGAGTGGTCACAGACAGTACACACCTAAGAAAACTGGCAGAGATGAAAGTTAACAACAGCATAAAATATTCAGCAAATACAATAAAGTAGATTCCAGTTAAGTGGCTGCCCTAAATATATGAAGTTGCGTGCAAAGGTTTAACCTTTATCCTACGGGCATTTAAATTCCGGTAAAGGCAGCCGTACGGAATAAATTTAAATACCCGCGATTAGAAATCCGTAAAAACTGTAGTCACTTACTAAATTTGCTCCTATTTCTGCAATTTCTGTGATAAACGAACGAAATAAACGCTGTTTTTTCTCGAAAGAATATAGAATCAGATATTGTAATTTACAGATTGTATAAAACATGTTAAAATTTTTTCACTGACTCCAAAGAAGAAATTTCCCAGTTTTTTGTTTCTCTACAAGAATTCATATGTTCTCGATACGTTTGAATGCAAGCTGGTGGATGACGACACTTGGCAACACCGCAGATGTCGTGTCTATCGAGTTTGTCGGAGTCTAAATGACGTACCTCTTTCGGAATGTGGATAGTGGACGAACGAAATAAACTCAGTGTCTTACTTCGCGCTCAGATACACAATAAGGTTCCTACTGTTCTTATACAGATCAAGGCTAGCTTTGTTTATGAAATTGTGTTGCAGTATCAACAGAGCGATAATAGAGCTTCGTTCCTGGAATTGTTCAGTCGGAGTATTTCAAAGTTTGATCGTACATGGCGTCGTGTCGTGTGGAATATTCTAGCATATTTCAGCTCATCAACGACTCGGTATAGATTGCTGTACCGACAATTCTGAGAGTGATGTTGAAGGTAGTGAATCAGAAAGTTATTTCGAAGGAGACCCATCATTTTCGTCGGCAACCTGGGGACCACCACACCAGCGTGGCACGAGGAGTGTGAATAATTATTCAGGTGGAGCTGTGGGCAAACTGTGGCAAACAGTTATAGCATCTGTTGTCGAACCTGGAAATGGACAAATAAGCTATTTTTCCATCTCCTTGATCTGAACAGTTACATCCTGTTGTCACACAGAGAATTTCGTCTCCCTCTTGTGCGGAACATGCTGGAAGGGGTCCACCTCGCCATCAACGGCCAGGGGTCGAACCCCTGCCGTTTTATCGGAGATATCTCGATTATAGAAGGCCAAACCACATC